CAATTTGGACACCAATAGGTGTATCTACAAGTTCTATGATATTTTTACACTGCTTGACAAGTGGCCAGCATTGTCATCTATTGTTGAGATAGTTTGGAATTTGGGACCACTGTAAGGCGGGCTGTTGTGTTTGCATTTCGTTAACGTGTCATACATTATTTAGTTAACGGTTGTTTGGCGCTTCATGTGCGTGTGTACGTAGACATACATACATACAAGTATGTACTTGTTGTTGGTCACTTTCATTTCTAATGTGCTGCTGAAATTTCTTTTCTTTATTGTTGCTGCTGCTCTTGTTAATGTAAACATGGCCACTTGCTAAAAGTGAAATTATTGCTGTTTTACTTAGGTGTGTGTGAACTCTTAGTAACTTCTGTAGATCAAACTGTATTTGAAATAGTCATAGCCAATGTGAAGGCCTTCGGCTTACCAATCGTAGCTCCGGCAACTGAACTCTGCATGCAAATGGAAAGCTCAATAGATAATGGGCCTGTCTAAATCGCAATAAGTTGAAAGAAATATTTCAAATTACTTACTCGCCAGGCATTCGCCGTTAAACTGTCTTAATTAATCAAAAACACTACGCACACATGCTCAAAAAAATAAAAAAAATTAATCCCTAATTTGAAACCAATAAATCAAAACTCGGCTCATCAATATGATTGATTAGCCAGCAGGTCTGCACACCATGTGCAACTACAAGGTTCGCCGACCAACGTTCGATGGCACGAAAGTCGTGAGCGAGCAAAAAATTATATGCCACGATCGCAGGGCAGACCCAGGTCTAGATTAAGTCCGAGTCGGCCATTCAACGTAATGAACTTTCGTTTTCAACGAATGGCGACGCAAAAGCACCAAAGAGTGTGAAAGGCGGCTAGACCGACGAAAACAAATTAATCGAACTAATAATGCCTAAGCTGCGAAATTTGTTCAACAGGCAGGGGCGCAATAAAACAAACGAATTTCGATTAAATCATGTAACGCTGTATTTATTTAAATGCAAATTTGTTGGCTGTGTTTGAGGTTTTAATTTTAATGGCGCCTTATACACATTTTATTGCCGTCGTGTTCAAATAAAGCCAACCACTGATTTCTTATCAGGCACACGTAATATTTACCCGCACTTATAAACCAGCAAAAATTCGGTCCTAATTATTAATAAGTCTTAATATTAAGACTTAATACATATGTATAGATCTTCAAATTAAATCATATATAATTAAAATTTTTTTTTTACTTAGTACTATATATCTAAAAATTATTTACAATGAGACAAAGAAATATTTAAAGTATTAAAAGGTGGTTTCGTTTTTCAGTAAAGTATAGTCATCCAATGGGTATTAAACACTCAGAATCAATAGCAATATCATTTACAATCCATTAATCCTTCAGCTACACAATAATACTTATCCATTCATATTTAATTAATTAGTTATTTTTATTTGTTGTGTAATATTGATAAAGTCAAACTAAGTCAAAATTAGAAATACAAATTTCGTAAGTCAGTTACAACTTGGCTTCTCCCTTTCAATTTTAGCCGATCTGGTGTGAATGATAATATGGTGTGCGGCAATCCCAACAGGCGGCAAAGCCTAAGAAAGCCAATTTTACACACTTGTCGCTCACTCGTCGTTAATTTTGTTGATGATTTTATCGTTTCGACGGCCCCCCGCTACTTATGCGCAAAATATTTGTACAGATGTGTTAAATAAAAGTTTCATTCAATCACATTTTGATGGATCACCAACATGATTTGTGTGAGATTTAAGTTCGATACTCGATCGTGTGTGCGGAGGAAAACAAAGGCAATAATAACAATTGAACTCGGGTGCATTTTCTCTTAGGCTAGAGTCCGCAGCGAACATGTTCGTTACTAAATGCTATGCTAATTCAATAGATTAATTAAAATGCCGATCGGTCTACGTCTGCATATTGGAGTTCAAAGTAGAAACTGTAGCTCTTTTATTGATTCGAATGTGGTTTGTTTTCTTTTTTCACTTTGATGCCATATATTCAAATTGTCAGCGGATCGAGGCGGCATTATTATGCACCTTATATGGTTTTGCTTACGTAATTTCACAAAACCACACGACTGGCCAAGCAAAGATTTTTATGCGAAGAATGGCGCAGCATTTTTCATTATTTCAGCTTTGATTATGGGTCGAGTCCGAGTTTTTGGCATCTTCTTTGCAGGCAGGCAGTAGAGCAGCCGACTATGGAGTTTGTGCGAGCTTCGCTGTAAATGTGCACACCTCACTGCCTAACTGGCTAACTGGCCAACTGGTCAACTGGTCAAGTGAAAGTGTTTCGGCATTTCATTTAACATGCGATTTGTCGTTTTGGGCAGGGCTCTGTTTTAGGCAAAATCATTCAAATTATAATACACATTTTTCTTCTTTCTAATCCAGCGCTCAAGCGAGTCTAATTCAATCATCCCACGCACATTTATACGAAATGTCATGGGAATATTGCATGGCACATTGTCGGCTCATTATGTGCACTAAAACGCCATTAGAAGCATGTGTCGGTTTAATTTCATTTTTTATAGCAGCCCAGGTGTGAAAAAACTTTTACAAATGCACCGACTCTCGAGCCCATAAAAAGGTGCACCATAAAGTGTCGGCAGAGATTAGAAAGATGAAAATGACGGAGTGTTCTCTAAGCAGCGAACAGCGAGAGCCTGTTGCCACACACGTGTCCACTACAACTGTTTTCCAGCACTCTAAACGGTTTCCATTTCAATACATAGTTGCCACTGTGGCGGTCGATACTGTCATTGAACGGCCACAAGACAAAACCCAAAAGGCAAACACGAAAAGAAAACAATCACAACCACGACAATATCGAAAGTGAAATTCTTCCACACACACATACGAGTACATTGTTGTCTACTCTAGGTAGAGTGAGCAGCGAGGCGCAGCGGCTTGGCTGGCTTGGTAGGGAACGAACGGAGCCAGCCAACAGCTCGCCACGCTTGACCAAGCGCACAAAAGCCGTTTAAGTTAATGTTTTTTCGCGCATGTCCACACCAAGAGCAGGCCAAGCCCAAACTGGCTGCCTTCCCGCAAATTTTCTACGGCGCAAAGGCGCCGCGTGACAACTAATGGCAGTGGCAAGCAAAGCCACACACTAGTGAAATTTGGGTCAAGGAAATAGCAAATGCTAACGACAGGTTGGCTGTCCCATGTCGCCTGCCACGGACAGATTTTAATGTGTGGTTGTTGCAACTCTTGCTTTTTTCATGCTAGAGATCTTGATGCGATACCACTGGAACACTCTTACTGTTTAATAATACCATGCCCGCAATGTTTCATCATTTACCAAATAGACATTTATACTGCATATTTATTTATTTTAAACCTATATCAAAGAAAGTAATCCTGCGATCTAAGACCAACCTATAACTAAAATATTCACATTATAATTTAATAAACAGAAACAAAAATGTAGCAAAGTTAAAATATATTACAAATGTCGTAAATATAACCATATAATATATTCTGTGTGTAAAATCAGTTTCTTCATTAAGTTAAATTTTGTATAATGTTTCATCATTTAACAAATATAAATTTATACTGCATATTTATTTATTTTAAACCTATAATCTGCGATCTAAGACCAACCTATTACTAAAATATTCACCTTAAAATTAAATAAACAGAAGCAAAAATGTAGCAACGTTAAAATATATTACAAATGTCGTAAATATAACTATCAGTATATAGAAAAGCTAATCTGTTACTAAAATATTCAACTTAAAATTAAATATAACTAAGTATCAGTATATAAAAATGCAATTCTGTGTGTGAAATCAGTTCCTCATTAAATTATATTTTGTATAAAAGCATAAAAGGAGTAATAAAAGCGGAAATTTGATATTTTTTTTAATTCTAAAATAATAATATTAAATGAGTGATAAACATGCAACATTTCTGATAAGAATCGCCAACAGTTTTTGTACAGTGTAAGTGCACCATCGAAATGTGTGCTCTGCGACAAAACAAAAATGCCGGTGCAGTGAGCCGGTGGATCTGTGTTTCTGATAACCTTGCTTAATATGCCGCACATATCGAGCACGTAAATCGCGCATACGCCATGTGTATGTTTATTTGTTTTTGGGAACTTGACGTTGATGATGGCGCTGTGTCAATGTACATTTATATGAGCAGATTATTGTAGTTGGCGATATTGTTATCTTTGACCAAGCGAAAGTAAGTTAAGAAAGCTACGCTTTGGCTAGCCAGCATTGTTATAGTTGGTAGTATGGCGACAGTTGCAATAATTGTACACTTTGTACATAATCTGGCTTATTGTTTTGGCAAGACATATTCGCACATAACTCTAGCAAACAAGCAAATAAACGCATGTCACTGCATCAAATGACAGCAACATCACAACAATTACTACATCCCATTAACATGATCGTAACATGAGCGTAACATTAACAGCGGGCGTATGTTAGCGGACAACAGCTCTTAACCGCAACGCCAGGCTGCCAACCGTTTCAGTTGAGTTTGAAATGTGCACGCGTGCGGTCGTTGCGAGCTGAGTGTGCGAGCCAGTGTGTGGTGCAGAACAGAACAGAAAGAAAGCTGTAAGAAAACAGGAATCGGTGATCGGTTTTCGGTGGCACAAGAAGTAGAAATAGAAATGTTTACCATTTAAGCGCGTCATAGAAATACTCACACGTACTGTACAGTGAGCGCACTCTCCAGTCACTCACCACAAATTCTCTCACCAGCGCCACTTCACACAATCGTGTGCTCGACGCGCTCACGAGCTATCACGGGCTAGCTAGAGTGACGACCGTTGTGCGCTAAAGTGAAAGTTTTCGTACAAAAGTGGCAGTGGCGAAGGTCCGTTATCTTTGCCGCAGTTGGCGACGCTTGTCCACAATCAGACAAACGTTGAGCGTTCAGCTGACCGGACGCATGCGCGGATTTTTATTAACTGGCTGGCTAGCGCGTTAGCTTGATAGACTTTTCACAACACAACGGACGATGAGCAACTGTAAATTCGTCAAGTCCACAAAAGAAACTAAAACAAAAACAAAAGATTTATGAAGTGCACCAAACAAATCACTTTATTGTTATTATTTTCAATAAACAAAATTCCAATTCTACGTAATTAAGTGCGCGTGTTACAGCTTGGCCTTAAAGTTCGGCCAGTCTGAAGACTAGAAAAGATTTCAAGAATTGTTTCTTGAAAAATATAGTAACATTTCAATTGTTGCGCGCTAAGCCAGACGCGTTCGTTGCCTAAGTCTTTCGTTTTGTGCTTAACCAAGTTGAGCATAGCGGTAAAACTAAAGCGCGCGCAACCCTCGCCACTACAACAACATTTTGCACTAATCTGTCAACTAGTCGGGTCTTTTACGAAACATATTTACAACAAATTAAAACAACCGAATTTTAAGAAGGCCATAAAACGACAACAGCAACAACAAGAAACAGCAATTTCAACAACAACAATTATTGCTGCCATTCGGTCTAGCTGTGAGTGTATCCAGTGTGTACATTGAAATAACTGAAAACATGTTTAAGTGGGTTACGTCGACGTTAGCGTCGGTGTCGACGTCGACGTCGCTGTCGCGGTCGCATTTATTCTTGGTGACAACAACTACCACAATAACAGCAACAACAACAACAGCAGCAGCAAAAAGAAGTGCGCTACGAAGACCACAACGTCAACTACTTTCCATCGCTTTAACAACTTTAATAATAATAGGCGCATTATTTGTGCAGACAACAAGTGGATTTAGATCAATTGAAACGAGTGGCGGTAAGTGTGCGACGACAATGGCAGACATTGTTCCATTGATTTCCATCAATTCAAGGCAAAGCTGGTCGAGGAAAGTCATGGGGCACAATAATTGAAAAATGTAGAATTATAGACTGCGCGCACATTTGTCGCTCGATGAAAGAAAATCAATTTGGCAAATTGCAAGCTCATGTTACGGCTCGTTCTCATTGGCGGCTCAAATCATGTCAGGTGCTGTGCTGTGTGTGTGTGTGCGTGTGTGTGCCGCACTTGATTCTTGGCATGAGTGAAAGCCCAACGCACACACCACCACAAACACACACACACATACGCATATTCACAAATAGCAAAAAGCAAAAACATAAATTGTGCCTTTGTGTCAATAAATGAACAAATAAGCCAGCATCATCAACACCACCAACAACAACTACAACCACGTATAGTGTACTCATGAAAATCTTAGGTGCAAAAACATATCGTTAGGAAATTTTTTTCGCTTTCCTCACCGACACACACACACACACCTGTACGCACTTGGCAATTATTTAGTTCATTTTATGCTACATTTGTGAGGCTGCCTTTCTTTATGGCACATCTTTTATGCCATTTTTACCTTCAATAATAACAACAATAACAACACTACTAACAACAGCAAGAGCAGCAGAAAAGTAGAAACTTTATGAAATTGGCAAAAAGATAAGTCTAAGCACAGCCACACACGCTTTCTTGTGACACTTTTTTTTGTTCGCTCGTTCGCTTATTTGTTTGTTTGCAGATGATGTGCTGCTTTCGTACTAATTGTCGCCGTCCACGATTTAAAAAGTGAAACAAATTTTTAATGTGCCAGGTTATTAGTTCAAATCAAAGGCACTGGCACACACGCGCCTGATACTTGTACAGAAAGAAAAAATAACGACGACAAGTAACGATTATGCTTTTAATGATGATGGGATGAGTTAGCGCATCTAAAACAAAATAAAATAATACCTCGCATGAGAGTAATAAGCCAGTAACTTTGCATGGGAATTATTTAAAAAGAAAATGTATTACTTATATGTGTGCAAATTTGATAAAGTAATATAGAAAGGTTGCCAAAATTGTTATATAATTGTATGATTAGAAGTTGTACACATCGGGCTGACAAATCACTTCATTCATTTTAACATATTAATTTGAATTTAAAAATATTTTGAGTATTTTAAATTTCAACAACAATGCCTTAATCACTTGTTCAAATGCCATTCTATTTGCAAAAGTGCAATAGAAAACAAATTAAATTTCTCTTCAGTTCAGCAAATTCAGTGCTTGATTTAGAGACAAATCGAATACAAATGTAATTTTTTAAATGGTATTGTGAGCAAGACTCTTCATTAAAGAATGTCTTTAAATACCTAACCAACATTCTAAATTAATCAATTAATGAATACGTTATTTGTTTTACATTACTAAAACAAAGAGCAGACTTCCAAAATTCCATATTTATTTTATGTCAAATGTATGTCAACAAATATTTGAATCGTGTTAGACAGTTTTGAACTTTGTGTAGAAAATATGAAGTTGAACCGTTTCTTTTCGTTTGCGAGTATTCGAATGAGATTCTAATTTTCGATTCAATATTATCCTTTAGTTTTATTTGTAGATCTTAGCCTATAAAAACGTACCACCAGATAAAATCAAAACATTCTATATATAGTAGTATAACAAACACTTTACTAGGTTGGTTCGGTAAGGAAAAATGACAGCTTCCGTTTGCTTTGCAAGTTGCTGTGTCAGCGATACAAACTGGCAGTGCCACAAATGGCAATCATCGCATACGCAGGCAGCTTCATTAATCGTAAATACAAAATGCAACAAAAGCAGCAACAACACAGGCACCAGGCAAAGTACAATGTGCCACGAACAACAATTTTCAATTTCTATTCGATTTGAAAAAACTTGGCACGTTGCACCTTCAGAGCGCTGAGTTGGCCGAGGGCCGTTGGCTGCTTGCCTGCCTGCGAAATGAAAATGTCTTGGCCAGTAGCGCTGGCACTATGATATACCAAATAAACAAGAGACTTGGCAAAGAGCGAACAAGTTCTGGGCAAGAAGCGTGTGCCAGTTTGTGGCCATGTCTTGCACTTGTCGGCTGCCCGCCTGAATGCCTGAATGGCTGAATGGCCGGTTGCTTGGCTGGCTGACTGGCTGACTGGGCTGACTTTGCGGTAATTTGGCCAGAGGAAGCTTATGCCAGTCAGGCGCTCGGTCAGATAGTCTGTCAGCATTTCTGCGCGGCGTCAATATAATTTCTAAATCACGTTTTTACCGCTCTTCCAGCTGAACGCTGCTGCAGTTGCAGTTGCTTGTCATTAGAGCAAATACTCTTCTTCTTGTTGTTGTTGTTGCTGTTACCAATGCTTCAGCCAACTGTCTTGCATTTTGTATGCATATTTAAGCACTGCTATCTATAGCTGTTGGCAAATTGTTGTGCAATTTACCGATTTTCCTTAGTTAAAAAGCAATGTTTCAAATGAAATGCTTGTTCAAGTCATCTGCACAAGTCTCTTGTTTACTCAGACATACTGACGCCTCCTATTTGTTGAAATATTTATGAGAAAAATGAAATATACTCATATATTACCGATTTAAAATGTTAATGAGAAGAATGAAATATGCTCGTATGTAGTATATTTGTCTGTTTAGAGCTTATCCCGATTTAAAGAGCCATGTATTGATATTGAAATACGAGTACGCACAATGTTCCTTAGCTTTACATGCATGTGTAAATATTAATCAATAAACGATAAATTTGTTAAAGAAAAAGCATTACAGAATTCAATCAATAATAATCACACTGATGACAGTTCCTTCTCTTATACCTTTCTATTTTTTTTTTGCAATTCAGTGCTTTTTAAATTGAATTGTTGTTTAAATGCTTATCAAAAAGTAACAGGTATTAGGATTTAAAGTTTGTAGCGCAACCATTAGATTGAATAACAAAAGCTATTCTTCCATGGTCATATTCGTTGGTCTTCAAAAATTCGTCAGAATGTATATTATTAAAACTAATCGATTGACACGCCTAAACTGTGGTGTACAACCATAGCTTTTTCAAAATAGAATTTAAATCATTTGCTAGGTTTCGCACTGATGTTTTATTTCATAAGAGCCACATAACATTTCTACAAACACAAACAAAATTAATGTGAAAGCTACATTTCTTTACTTTCTTTAATTTCATTTTCGGCTCACTTTGAGCGGCTGGTACTTGTACATTTTTCTCACAGGTCGTTTTACACTTCATAAACTTAATTCAATCACATTAAAACTGTAACAAAAGTGGCAGATCATGAACATCAAGTGCCGCCATCAACAACACCAGCGCCGAAAGAGACAACAGCAAAGATATAATTGTCGCGACAAGGCGACATTTCACCTTCGACAAAATAATCCACGCCACCAATTGTTGCAACTGCACTTCCTACACTCACAGGCATTGACTTAAGCTCGTGATTAAGATCCGACCCGAGCCGACTCGACTCGACTCGACTCGATTTAACTCGATTTGGTGTCGGTTTTGAAGTTGAAACTATTAGTGCATGAGAACGCAGACATGTGTAATGTGTGTGTGGATCTTGTGTTGTCTGTAAGTTTATCTTTTAAGCTCATCAGCATTGTTTCAAGTGCTATTATTACGGCTTGCTTGTCCGCTTTGGTAGCTTGTTGGCTCTTGTGCTTTTCTACTGCTTCCTTTTATCGACAGCAGCAGCAGTGGCAGCTACACTTGTGGCAGTTACAAATTATCGGCTGTCAACACATCGACGATGGCGGCGGCACAGAAACCCATTAGAAAGAGTTAAGAGCAGCGCGCCTATGCGTTTTGTTATGGCAACATCTAACAGGAAATACATAGCAAACGTCAAATTTGTTTTGACATGTTTGGCGGTGAAAGTGAAATTCTGTTTTCAGTAAGCGCCGCTGCCGCTGCCGCTGCCTCTGCGGCTGCTGCTGCTGCTGCCGCCGTCGCTTCCGCTGCATGACTCCACACATTCTTTGGCTTTTGTTTTCGCATGTGAATGCTAGTTTACATACATAAATACATACATATGTACACATTATTGGCTGTTTATCTTCCCTCTCTGAGCGGACACAGCATTCGCATTCGAATTCGGATTCGCGTTCGTGTTTATTTTCATGTGCATTTCTAGACTTTTCATTCATTTCATTTGATTTCATTGTGCAGCGACTTCCTTTACGGCCGGCCACATTCTCATCGTTAAATGCTCGTTGTGTGTGTTTGGTTTTTGTGAGTGGAGCGCGTATTGGAATCGATTGGAATCGGGGCTATTGCCAAAATGATGTCATTTATTGCGGCCGCACAACTTTCACTGCTCGTTTGCACAATTTGTGCGTTGAGTAGCGATGAGCATCGTTGGATTTTCAATCAATTGATATTTTGATGATATTTTTATTTGTTTTTAATTGCTTTTGATATTAGCACAACAACTAAACTGTCACTTAAATTGAAAGAAACGAGTGACAGTAAAAGTCCCATAAATAAATGCTAAAATTCAGTCAAAAAATGTGACCATCGCTTAACTTCAATCAATAACACTATTGTTTTGTCAGTTTTAATTCCAATGCAATCTATTTAACTAGTTAAAAGCTTCAACCGACATAGATTCACTTTCTTTTGTTTCAAGCTATTTACATTTTACAATGGCAAAAGCAATTTTTATATACATTATAAAGCGATCATTTATAACGCTAACTATTTAGCTATAAATTAAAGACCACATGCTTTATTCCAAATATTCCATCATAGAGATAATCTTAGAAAAGGAAAAAAGACCTTTTTCCAAGACATCATCTTTCTCAGTCTTAGTTGTTATTAAAAAACAAGTTTTAAAAAATAATTTTGGTTCTTGTTGGAAGTATGCAATCTCTTTTACTGAGCTCTTTGATATGAGGATTTAATTTTTTCTTCCATTACGCCATAGGGTTTGCGTTTCAAAATCGAATGGAATTGAAAATAAAAACCA